GGCTAAGGTTACACAGTGCAAGTTCATCTGTAAGAAAAGTGACATCAGCCATCTTATATTATTGAGTTTTCCTATGTTAGGGGAATATTTCTTAATTTGCCAAACTTTGAAGGGCTTTTAAAATTTAATTGATGTTTTTATCTGTCCTGTTAGCATAAGAATGTTTACGATATTTTTACCATATCTTACAGTAGGAAGTATTCTTTATATTTTACTAAAGATTTTAACTTGAAGAATCTTTTGACTAACTGATTAGAGACAAAAATATATTTAAATAGTCTTATATGTCCTATCATCTGCTCCCAAAAGGATGAAATATAACAGCAATAGCAGCATATTTTTAACTACATTTTCAGAAATAATGATTACGTTATTAGCACTTTGAAGTTTCAAAAAAAAACACTTCCTCCTATATTTGTGCTTCTGACAATATCTCGAGAATAGATATTATTGATTTCATTTTTTGGCCAGAGAAACTGAGGCCTAGAGGAGTTAATTATGACATGTATAAAACTTTAGTCATTAGGCAGAGGAAATGTATTTGAACGAGCCTTCTGATTCCAGTCCCCAAATTCCTTGAAACTAGTTAATAACTAAGTTTTCATTCTTTACTATCTTTATTGGTCTGGATTTCCAATGATTTGTTCTTTTCCAGTCTTTATTTTCCTTGATTCATGAAAGTGCTGAATTAATTGAGTGAGTTTCTAGGAGAATGTCCAGGCACCTGCTAACCAGGCAGGCCATGTATTCCCAGGCAGAAGCAGAGATACAAGGAGGAAACCTGAGGGTGCCCAGGGACTCTGTCCCAATCTGAATGCCTTCTATCATCAGTTCTTGGTTTGGAAAGTGTTTAGGAAACCAAGTAATTCCAAGACATTGAGCCTCCGTTACCCATCCTAAAAGAGAGTTAAGAGTTAACCTGTAATTCTTTCTTGTAATTAATTTAGGGATCCTCAGAATGAGAACCCAACACTCGCTCCTCCCCCAACCCAGTCAGGAATCCTAAATACAGGACCCGGATAGACCAACTTCTTAGAAAAGGGACTCAGTAGTTCCATTGTTCTCACTGGAACTCGGGAATTTTCCAATTTCATACAGACTATCCCCTTCTTTATGGGTCCAGTATTACACTACTAGTTTGTTTAACTTAACTTGTTTAACTTTACTCTCACTGCAAACCTTGAAAACATTGGGTTCTCAGAATGGCAAAGGTGGAAATCATGTCTTGATCCCCCCAGCATGGAGCGGGGAGGGGAGCAGAGCAAGCCATTCCTAGTTGTGTATTCTGTACATCTCCAGACTCTATTGCCTGGAAAATGACAGCATTATCTTGTGAAGACATGGGAAGGTAGAACCACCTCCACTGACAGCTGCTTGCTTTGGGTGTGTCACAGACTTTCTTTGATAAGGTGTCCCTGTATTAAGACTATGAAGAAGAGACTATTGCAAGAACTATGCTTCTCCCTCTCCTCACCTAAAAGGGCTCCTTTGGGAGGGAGAACAGAGCTAACTCTGACTCCCCTTCAAGATTAGGATGTTTTTAGGTCAAAGGCTACAACAGACTGTTTACGAAGTACTAACCTGTTTGTTTAAATTTAGCTTTGATATTTAATTTTATTCATTTACTATAAATTGGTAAAGAACAGCTTTATAAAGATTTTAAAGGTATATAAAAAACATGTTTTCTAAACCAATCAAAAATAAATGAGAGGCTGGAGTAGTAGCTCAGTGATAGAGTACTTGCCTCACAACTGTGAGGCACTGGGTTTGACCCTAGCACCACATAAAAACAAATAAAGGCATTGAATCCATATACAACTAAAAAAAGAATAAATAAATAAATAGACGAGCAAAAGGAAGACCAATAGAGTACAGGAAGAATAACTAAGTGGGCAGGGGAAGGGAGATAATGTGAACTGAAATAGAATTTCATGCATGTATGATTTTGTCCAATTAACCCAACTGCTATGTATAAGTATAATGCTCTAATTTTTTTTAAAAAAAAAACATACTTTTCTATCTATCATAGAAACTTTTCAAAGAAATAGCCTGCTAGTTTTTAGATGCTACTATTTTGAAAATTGATTAGTACTCATTGAAACTCATTAACTTCAAAATTTTTTTGAAGTTAAATTATTCACGTTTTTCAGGTTTCTTTCTTCATAAGTGTTGTAAATGTTACTTCTGTTTCATATGTTAGCACTATTGTGGTGATGCTGATAAAGTGTATATTTGATAACTAATTTTTCAGTAGTTGCACAGTTGCAATGGATTGTTCGATTGCCAAATGTGAACCCAAAATAAACTAGCAGAAAGATCCTTTAAAATATGCTTTCACTTTTCTATTCTACCAGTTCACTTCATGAAACTAGTTTAACAATATGCTACCCAGTTTTATGATTTAGTTTACATGCACTTTCTATCTCAAAAGTTAAAATGGACATCAAGTATGCTACTAATACAAATATTTTTTTGAAATGTAGCAATAATTAGATATAACAATTTAAAATATTAAAAAACAATTTGAAGTAAATAAAACCAATATTGAAATGATTAATTAAATGGGCATTTAGCCAAAAATGACCAAGGTTTCATGTTAAGTGAATAATTATTTTTATTACACAAATATATTATTTAAATTATTCTTGGGGCTGACAGTGTAGGCCATGGTATAGCACTTACCTAATATATGCAAGGCCTTTGGTTTGATCCATGGCACTGCAAAAAAATTTTAAATTAAAAATAATTTTTGGGCTGAGGCTATAGCTCAGTAGTAGAGCACTTCCCTCATACATGTGAGGCACTGGGTTTGATCTTTAGCACCACATATAAATATAAATATAAATATAGTCCATCTATAACTAAAATATATTTTTTAAAAATAATAATTTTCTTCTTACATGTGGAGATATTTCATGTATGCCATTTCCTAGGATACTGATATTATATCAATGTTTGAGTCTTTATAATAGTTACAGATAAACATAGGGCACAGTTGTTCAGAATTAAGATTATATGAAGGTAATTATGAAGACCATTATTTACAGCTCAGTTGTTTATTATGAGGAAAGTCACCTTTGTTGTTCCATTTAACATTGATTATTCTTATAGTATTCATAGTAAAAGAGAGGTTTTAGATTTGTCATCCGTTGACTATTTCTATTTACTGTAAAATAAACTAAATTCTAGATTTGGGTCAATATGTTTGGGTTAAGGATTGCATATAATGAGTTCAGTTTAGCATGCGTGAATAATCGGTATTCGTTGCGTGTGAAGAAGATTCTCAAGCCCCTGATGCATGCCACATCCGACAGTATTACCTAAGATGATGACAGGGCCCAGAGGGGATGCTTATGTCCTAGAGCTGTGCAGTGACTCCTTTAAAATCACATGTTCCCACTCCCTTCTAGAGACTGTATTCATTCTTTCCATCAAATAGCAAGTCCTGATTCCAACCCAATTGGTTTTACTACCTATAGGCAGTTTAATTGTCATACACGGTCTCTGTAATCTCTCCCCTGTTCTGGAACACCACGACCAACAGAACAGAGATTCCTCAGACTACCATTTAAGATCCTTTAGAAACTCCTGTCTGATTCTCCAATCATTCCTACTTCACCATTGTAATTCATTCATATTTGTTATCCAACTTGGATTTTTTCCATCCTTCATAAAGCCAATTGAAAACCTGCTCATCCATAAAGCTGTCTTATCTAGGCTAGCCCTGGACAGAGTGATTGCTACCTTATCGCATTCATTGGCATATGGTAATATGCAGCCTCACCATTGGGTCGTGTCTTTGATATATCTCAAGTAGACTGGGGTTTTTGAAAGCAAAGATTGTGTATTGTTACATGTATAAACTCCTTCTCCCTAGTACCTTACTTAATACTTTTTACATAGTGAGTTCGCCACAAAAGAATAATCAATTTCCTGGAAAGACATAACCATGTAACTCATTTATTCACTTCTTGAACTATTCAAACATTTTTGAATACCTACCCTATGCCAGGCACTGTGCTAAGACCTGGAATACAGCAAGGAGCTACCATAGTCAGTGGCCTAATGGATAGTTCTTGTCCAATTGTTTTTCTTCATTTCTATTTAATTTTGAGAGCATACAACTTAAAAGACTTTTTAATCTTATATATGTGTTAGTATTTCCTCATATATGACTTATTACCAAGAATGTTTAATTCAATCTTATAATTTTGAGAATTAAACATTCAGTTTACTCAGTTCCAGAGTTTAATCTTACTTCTGACTATTCACTTTAGGCTAAAAATTACACACCACACACACACACACACACACACACACACAAATGTTTAAAAAGTATCACAAGAAATTATTATTTCGCCTTATTTTCTGCAAGTGTCATTTTGGAGAATAACAAAGTTTCTGAATTCCCAGTTCTTCATTGGGGATGTCATGCCCTTCTTAGATCTGGTCAGAAACTTTTACTCAAAAGCTGGCTGAGAATATACGATCATCTCTGGAATTGCTTTGACCTTTTCTGTATTCCCTGTTTTGATTAGCTGGCTATTCTACTCATATCCCATTTACAGACAAATTGTGAAAGACTTGAATGGCAAGTCAGAAATATATGGAATATTGAAAAGGTCAGTGCGATTTAGCCCATAACCACAGAATTTTAAATATATGACAAGTCATTATCAGACTTAATTCTCACAACAAGGGCTGTGGTAAAGATGGGAAATTATTCCAATTAAAATATTCTTGTTTCATACTGAAGGCTGAGATGGCAAAGCTCAAATGCCCTCTTGACTCCTTTTTTGTGATAACTTAATAAGTTAGAAAGAAATTGTAATTGAATTAAACAAGGCAAAAAAGGAGGTAGCAAGCTCTTTTGAATTGAGAGTCCATTGTAAAGGGAATAATATAATGAGTTTTCTAAAAACTCTAATTACACATAAGTAAGACAGATACAGCTACAAAGCCAATTCAACAGCCACCCCATGCTCTCTTTTTATCTACAGCATAGCTGTCAGTCAGATGGGAACTCTATTTATTTCCATGGAAATGAAGGCAGCGAGTTCAATTTTGCCACCACCCGGGATGTAGATCTTTCTACAGAGGATATTCAAGAGCAATGGTCAGAAGAATTTGAGAGCCAACCTACAGGGTAAGTAATTGTTATCTCCAATGCTGTGTACAACACTTACATTTATTCCACTGGGCATATTATAAATGCATATTGTTAAATAGCAAAAGCATACTTAAATCAGCACTGATAATTCTTATCGTAGACAAACTGAAAGGGGTTACACCTACCCTAAAGATTCTTTACTAAGTAATCAAATACTTCTATCATTTTAAAAATACCTTTTAATTTCACTTGAATCACTGTATCTCCTCTTAGTTTAGTCAGCTTTTACTGAAAGCAAGTTTTCAGTTTTTACAGAATACAGAATCTTTTCACTACATCCCACTGAGATTTTCAGTTGTCTTCTTGGGATCTGAGATTTATAGAAGCTATTATATGACTTTCAGTGGAAAATGTTTTTGAACCATAAAAGTGGTTCAGGGGGTAAAACTCATCTTTGAGAGATTTATAGAGGAGGAATTGAGGCCTCAGGTTGAAGTAGAGGAAACCTGAAGCAGAGAGCTGCCTCAGTGGTTAGTGCTTTATTGACATCTTATACTAGTTGCCTTCTTCTGCATTCTAAGTCACCTAAGATATCTCCTACTAATGGAGCAGCACTTTGAAATCAAGTTGAAAAAAAATTAATAGAGCAAAATCTATTTAATAGATCAAATCAAATTGATTTTGATCTAATTAATAGATCAAAATCAAAATCTATAAGGTAATTGCATTGTAAGGAAATTCTAGAAATTTCTTGATTTTCACTTTTTTCTTTTACAGCAAATACATGCAATCAGAATACCAGATACTTATTTTCTGGTGTATATTTTCTAATACTATGATGAGGATGAGCAAAATTAAAGTCAAACATAATTCCATAATGAATCTGGAAGAGCAGTAATTTAACTGTTACTGTGAGGAACTTTCTCAGAGCACAAAAAAGTTGGAGGGGTAGGTCGTGTCATTCTGACCTCAAGTCAAAACTGATTGAACTTCCAAGTAAGTGCCTGAGTGGCAAGAAAGTCAGTGTTGCCCTCCCAGGTTCCCCACTTCCTATGCATTGCCCGCACACATCATTCAGTCTGATGACCAGCAGCCTGAGCCCCACGGCTGATGTGACCCTTTGCTGCCACTCTGGGATCTTTCCCTGCTGACCACCATATTTCTACTATGGCTGACCTAGCCCTGCACCTCCTTCCTTAGGGGAGTTCCTCAGTTTCAGCCTTCACATAGGTCAGGATGAGTCTCACAACCTCTTGGGGCCTACCATTTGCCTCTGTAGGCCCAACACCAATGCTCAGGTCCTTCAGTCCTCAAGGCCCTTTCCCTCTGAGTTCCTGTCTCCCTGAGCTCCATGTCCAGCATGGTTCTGGTGCTTCCTTGAGGGACTAGTAACCACTGCTCCTCTTTTTAGTCTCTAGGCTATCCCCAGGAATCAGGCTGCTCTCCTGTATAACCCTCAGAATACACAATGCTCATTCCACTCCCCTCACAAAGAACCTTGATGGAGTCCAGAGCTGTGCCAGTGCACAGGGGCTTATTTATCTATCTTATGGAGATAAAGGATCCATCAGTTCTGCCCTTCTTACACTCCCATTCCGGGGATCTTAACTGCCTGCAAGGGAGCACAGATGTCCAAACACTGGAGGCTCATTCACTCTGACTCCTTCACCTCTGAGCTAGTTCATCCAAGTATCAGTGACAAGTCATCCTCTTCAGTGAGTCCATATACCCTGGTCATTTAGATAATTCCCCAGCATTACCAGTCCCATCTCACAAGAGCAGAGATAAAACACAAATTTAATCTCCAAGAATACCATTCTAATATACACATAAATCCCCTCCCCATTTCCTTCCCCTTCTCTCTCTCTCTCCCACCCTCCCTCCCTCCCTCTCCCTCTCTCTTTCTCTCTCTCCAGTAAAACTTGATGTCTTAAATGTCACCCCTCCCCTTTCTCCATTCCCTCCCTTCCTTCTTTCCTTCATTTCCTGCTGGGGATGGAACCCAAGGCCACTAAGCTATGCCCTCAGCCCACTATAGTGATAAAACTTACTTTGCCTGTGGCCTTCATAGCCAGCTATTCCCTCTCCCAGAATGCAGAATGTCCCCTGCCTCCTCTCCTGTTTACTTTGTTGTATCATCAAAGTCTGTTATTTAATAAAAACAAAATAAATTCTTTAGTACAAATACAAATAGCCTATCCATCTCTCTTTTAATCACATTATGGAAACTTGGTACAAAACATGGAAACCTTTTCATGAACTAAGCTTACAAATGTATGGACTTAATATTAGAAGACACCAAACATTTTAGAAAACTAATATAGTAATCCATAAACAAAGCCTAACAAAAAAATTCCAAAAAAGATCAGACATTCTATTTTCACTGAGCACTAAGGATTAAAATAAGAGAATTTTTGGCTACAGCCAAATTCATCATTCCCTAAAACAATGAACTAAAAGTATGTATCCCAGAAACAAAAAAGCTAAGGTCAATAAGGACACAGAGGAACAGTGGAGGAAAGTCCATCTACTATGTGAGTCAAGTGGTCCTCGTTATACTTACTGGACATCTCTCAGGACTGAAGATTTACCAGGGTTTGGGTCACAGTAAACAGGCTGGTACTCTCCGGCTGTGGCATCATCAGATTCCAGTTCTAATCATGTATAATAAGGTGCTCAGAAAAAAGCACCTGTGCCAGTCTAATGCCATATAGTTAATTCAGCAGAACTCTAAAAGCAGTTTAATTATTCTAGCAACCACCTCTTAGGTTATTTGGGGCTTTTGCTCCTAGGATATCAGGCCACACCACGATAATACTTCACTGGTTCTCTCATCTGTGCCCAGTATGAGGTTGGCCTTATGTTATGAAGGCAAAACAAGATGAGAGCACCCAGGGTTGTCTTGTGTTTAGGGCGATGATAAAATGCTAATTTAATCCAAAATTTTTGTGTGAAAGGGTAAAGTCCCACTCCCACCTACTGCCAAATGTTGCTTTGTTGGTCTAGGAAAGAATGCTGATATTATAATTTTTAATCGTAGCTTCAAGGAAAAAAAATCCTTTCACAAAATTGAATCAACACGAAGCATCGTTACCTAGGGTAAGCTCCAGCAAAGAAAAGCAGACTCAGAGTTTGGTAGTGAAACACTTGTTCTGTTTCTCTCACAGGATGATTAATATTTGTCTCATTCTTCCCTTCAACCACCAGCATCCACAAAAACAATTTATTGTTATAGACTCACCTACTTAAATAGAAAGCATAAATGATAAATCCTCAAGAGTGACCCATTAAATTGATTGAATTCTGCAGCCTTAAGGTCACTTTTCAAAATTTTTTGAAGTTAAATTATTCATATGTTATAATACTTTCATATCTTTTAACTATGTTTTTCTCCCATAGAATATAGACAGATATAGAGAGATAACCTAATAATATTTTTCAGAACACTTCACATGAATGGGTAGGAAGAAAAGAAAGCCACTATGACATTATGGCTTTTATTAGAAACCACTTTCCCTATCACATTTTTCTATCATTTGAATCAAAGCATTGGATCTCAGATCACAAGGATGTGAGAGCTATTGGTCTTTCCTTAAGCTATCCTAAATCCAATGTCTATATTTGTAAAGCAGGATTTTAAAGGTTTTTCTGCTTTGTTTTGGTTTTGTCCTAAAAAAAAAAAATACATCTGTTACTTCAGCACAGGAGAAACTTTAACAAATACACTGATAATTTATGTGAGTGTTTCTGAACTTTGGCTTCACCTTAAAAACACATCATTTAATTAGCAATTACCACATCTCACCTAGCTAAGTCTGTCTTTAGGTGGGAGGGGGCTTTTTAAAACATCACATTCCTATAATGTGGAATTTGCATATTTGCCTTGCATCCCAAATGCAAGGATCATATGTTTTTACTCCTCAAATATCTTTAAAAGGAAAAATAGGGCAGGGGATGTAGCTTAGTGGTAGGGTACTTGCCTAGCATGTATACCACATTTTTTTTATACCTTTATTTTATTTATTTATTTTTATGTGGTGCTGAGAGTCGAACCCAGGGCCTTGTATGTGCTGGGTGAGCACTCTACAGCTAAGCCACAGCCTCGGCCCCCACCAAATTTTTTAAGAAAATAAAAAACTGCTTTATTGTTGTCCCAGAATATTAATGCTAAAAAATAACTCCACAAACATAAGACTTAATCAAGACAGCATGTTCCAGTCTTCCCCACCTGCACCAAATCACTGGAAATTACAGGAAAATGAACAAATATATCTGAAATGATATTATAAAACAAGAAAGTTGGGCCAGGAATTACTAATGAGTGGAGGAAGAGAGAAAGAGAATCTGGAATCTGGGGGAGAAGGGAAGTAGGGAACTCTGTTCTGAAATACATGTTGAATTAGACACTGTTAGTGACATCCCAGCATTGCTCCAGGTCGTGGATGCTGGGACAGGGCGTTGGTACTACCATAAGGACTGTAGGTGAGCCCCTCACTGCACCTATTTCTAAAAAGAGGCTTCTGCCTCCAGGAACAGAAGACAAATAAGGACACTTGTAATGAAGAAACTGAGCTATTCACCCCATAGTAGTCCTCACCCGATCACCAGGCATTATTATTTTTTTTATGTATATCCTTTGTGTATTTTAGCACATTTTACCTTTAAAACAAATATTGTACAATATGTCAATGTATCTGAGTAGTTGAACAGTGGTTAAAAAAAAGCTAAGCATATACCTAAGCTGTAAGACTTAGTTTCATGCCATTATCATCTGACTACTTGGGGGAAAAGACCTGAATTACAATAACCCATCTCAGCAAAATTTTCCAATTCAAATTAGAAGGGCTTCAATTTAAAAATCACCTTTGAGAGGGCAATATTAATGCAATTCACATCAGAACATCCAGTTAATGCAATTAACAACAAACCACAATTTTGTGATATGGTAGTCTTTCAATTCCTTCAGCCTTCTGATTGCAGACTTGACTGTGACGGCAGAAGTGGTGTTATAGGTCCAGGCACCAACAGCCGCTGTTTT